TTAGTTTGGGGTAAAAATCTGTTCATATTAATTCCCTAATAAGCATAATAATTCATAATTTTTTGGTTCTAATCACATTTCAATTAAACTTGGAGACATAGATTTTCTGTTACATTGCGCAGACCTCATTAGTTTTACACTCAAATCTGGTCATATTAATTTTCTGATTTGCATAATTAGTTTTTAGCTAAGTAATTTCGAATTATATTTAATGTGTCTCCAATACTCTCAGCACATGGGAGTTCTTTCTAAGCTTTCTTTGATCAGTGATGTCATGACCTGTTCATGACCTTGATCTGAATCAGTGACAGAAGGGTCGTACCATTACCAAACTCTGTGGAAACTGTAGAGGGGTGTCAGGCTACATTTTGAAGGGAATTATAGTGGTGATACTGAAACAAACCCAGGTCCTGGTAATATACAAAGACCTGAATTAACAAAGATTGTCAAGTTGTTATTAAAGGTACACCAAGGTTTACTCAGATTTATGAATGCAGTTTCTTGAGCATGCAAACATGTAATGAGACATACATGTAGTTGGTTTGCATTTGTGTACTCTGAGATTTTGGATTCGGGTCAATGGAAGTTATCAGTACAATACTAGATTAAGGGAAATCACTCTATGATGAGTTGTACCCACATAGAGTACATATTAATTCAACTGTTTGCAGATGTTCCATGTATTATTTTAACATGAGTATTTTATAATTAAATGTTGGGGACTGTGACATTCATATCTAGCTCTTTAAATTTTGCAAATGAACAGAAATTGCACAGGACATTTGCAATGCTCTAGACTAGGTGATTACATCTTAGTTCTTTCTAACTACGACAAAACAACTATAAACAATAATCCCATAGCTAAAAACCCAAAGCAAATAAAAGAAAAACAAAATCTTCTACCCTACGTAAACATTCTATACATTTTACACAGTTCATTTGAAATAAACAGTAATGTATACCATAATTGGATTTATTGTAGTACATGCATCATACAACCTATCACACTTATGAATATTCATTTGTTTAGTAGTCTGATTTAAAGATGGCTGAATGACGGCCATTCTAATGTTAGCAATTCATCAAAATCAATTCCAGAACTGGATCTTGTTTGTACATGGACAGATTTTGTTCAAACTTGGTAGATACATTGGACATTATTGGGACTTTAATGCACCTCATTTTGTTTTTTCAGATTGGAATAAACTTATTAACTGGTAGCTATTTTGTTTCAATGAATGTTGTTCTGGAGTCACATCTCAGACTTTGACTGTTTATGTTCAAACTGTATATAATTCTTAAACTTGTTAACTCACGAGGAATATGTTTAATAAAATTTAATAAATCTATGATAATTTTCCTTTATACAGATTCAATGCAGTGTTGTCAAGTATGGAATCGAGGACTTATTCATTGATCTTACACCTCTGATAACCGAAAATGGAGGATACCTCGCAGTTTCGAGCTTGGGTGATGTCCCGGCCAGTGATCTCAAATCTAGTGACACATACTATATTAACTTATGTCGACCTTTGAACCCTATCGCTGGTGCAAAATGCCCTCCAGGTTCGTCTGCTTGCAGAGTGAGAGAAGGAGAAGCACCAATAGTGAGTGTTGTTTCATTGAATATCAATATGAAAGGTGTTTTCTGATTGGATTGATTTTATGAGTATGCAAATGTCTACTGTGGAAGCATAAAAATTAATAAGTTAAGGAGGATTCAACAGTTAATCTGTGTAAATTTTTCCCCCATTTTTTGTATATTTAATTTTAGTTACTTTTGATTAATTATTTATTGTTAGTTTTTCAAAGTTTTGGTGATTGTGACATGAAGGTTATGTGAAAAAAAAAATAACAAACTAGTTTGAAAAAAAAATAAAAAAATAAAAAAAAAATATGTATCAGATTTCTACTGATATAATATGAAGAAAAATTAAGTGTAAATTTCAAGCTATGTACAAGTTTTAGCAAATGATTAGTGTTTTTGACAGATGAAATCTGCTAACTAATTGTTTAATTGACTTTATAATCACCATTAGTAAAGTAGAAAAAAAATCTTGTTATCTTTGAACAGACCCTCAGAGGTGAAAGCAGTTATTTTAATCCTTTCATGGCAAAATTTAGTGCAATAGTTTGGAGTCAATGTAATGCTACTTAGTATATAGCACCTGGTTGGCTACCCGAACCCAAACATCTAATAGTTACACAAATCAGGAAGCAGCTTGTTCGCTGACCATTGATCGAGCGGAACTTATCATATGAGTGATTTTATCGCCGTCTGTTGTCCGTTTAAACTTTTAACTTATTCGACTTCTTCTTGAAAACTACCGGTACAATTGTTATTGCTTTGATACTTGGTGTATATGTACCTTTGGCAGACCTCTTTCAGATTTGTTCATTTCGTTATATCTTCAATACTGTCATTTTTGGTAAAAAGTGATATTTTCGACTTCTTGTTAAAAACCGCATGTCTGATTGCTTTGATGTTATACATGTAGGTACCTCAGAAAGACCTTTTTTGGATTTGTTCATTTTCTGATGATATCTTCTGATGAAATGGTCATTGCTAACAGTGGAGCTAATCTCAGCCGACACGCTGCTTGTTTGATGTATAAAATTCTGTCTTGTTTTGACTCAACTGACTGGTTGTACATTTTAATTGTTATACTAGTATTTTATAAAATTGCTTTGGTTAATTTTTGACAAGCTGGTGACAGGTCTTGAATAAATATGGTAAAAATTGTTTTGATTTATTTTGTGAAAGGGGACATTTACAGTGATGATAATTGAGTAAGGTGTTCATAGGTATAACATTATATGGTACATTATATTCACAGAGTCTTGGTAAGGCGGCCGAGGAGCCTTACATCACAGCGGAAGATGAAGTGGCAATCAAATATGTCCATGGAAGTAAATGCCCTCAGGACGAGAAGAAACAGTTGTCTATGCTAATCACATTTCACTGTAAACCAGGAATTTCTGAGGTTAGTCATGCTTTTTGACAAGTTTTGTCAATATTTTCCTTGATTGTTGTTGTGTACCAGTAATTCATCTGATCTACCGGTACTTATTGATGGATCATGTCTGTCACTTGTTCTTGTTGTCGTCTGTGTTAACTTTCTTTTTTATTTTCAACAACCTGTCAAGAAAGACATTCATTTGTTGATTTGTACAGCTTTAGGATTTACAATAAAATTATAATAATTTTTACTTTTCCAACATCAAGAAATGATAACATTGATAATTGTGATGAAATATTACCTAATTTCAAAACCATATTTTTTTTGAATAATTAATGGAGCTGATTACTGCAATGATAGATTTATAATTTGTTTTCGTATGACAACATTAGCAATGTTTGTTAATGGTATTCATGTTTTAAAGCTGCTCTCTGAATTTCACATGAAATATTTGGTGGTCTGAATTTGTAAGTTTTGGGGTAAATTACAATATATCAATTTTCTATGATTTTGAATGCATCTAAATGTTCATAATAATGTGATACGATATCCGCCATGTTATACCTTGAAAATTCAAGATGATTTATTGTATTTCTTCCACGTTCCTATCTGCAGACGGCTCCTTCGGTTTTTGGATATGCAAATTGTACGTACCTAGTGGAGTGGGACACCGATGTTGTCTGTCCGAAATCGAAACCAGCCCCGGCAACATCAGCATGTACATATTATGATTCTGCTTTAGATTACACCTTTGATTTAAGCCCATTGGTTGTCAGTGATCAAAGCAATGTCT